TAAAAAAAAAAAAAAGTACCAGGCTCAGGGGCACAGAACTTGCCTCACATGTGAGAGAAGACTCTGGGTTGGATTCCCAGCACCACAACAAACACACACACAAACAAAAACTATATCAAGGAGGCTGGAGAGGTGGCTCAGTGGTTAAGAGCACTTAGGGCTACAGTTCGGATCCCGGCACCCACCAGGCAGCTCACATACAGCACGGGGGAGTTAATGTCGTACAGAGACCCAAGCAAACTCTGTTTAAAGCCCGCCGTTTATATGAGGGACTGGGAGGAGGACTCTCCTAAGTCACCCTTCATCACAGGTCTGCTTTAGGGAAGGAGGTATTTTTATTTCTGTGTCTGTGGGTGAGTGCCCATGCCCACAGCAGCCAGAAGAGGGAGTCGGGTCCCCTGGAGCTGAAGTCACAAGCAGTTGTAAACCAGCCCCCTGGAAGAGCAGTGGGTGTTCTGAACCACCGAGCCAGCTCTCCAGACCCCCAGAAGCCATGTCATATTTATCCAGAGTATCTTTCACAGGGCCATGATTATAATTTCCTATTTCAGAAGGAAACTTTCGAGGCCCTGAAGAGATAGTAGTATTTCCTGGCCGCCTTGCTGTAGGGATCATAGGATGGGGTAGAGGAGCGCTGTGGTTAACCCCTGGACCAAAGGACATTCTTAATGTGGCCGAGGTAGTTTGTATTGAGAGGTTTCTGTACTTTAAGCAAAAGCTCTACCCATTTAGTCATCCTTTTTTCTGTATTGTTGGCACATGTTTAAATTCCAACATTTGGTTGGCAGTATTAAAAGACTCCATACATTTATACCTACAAAAGATAGTTCACATCTCCTCCCTCTACCCCTAGGAAACTGTCTTCCCACCTCAGTCTTCTCTTGTTTTGTTTGTTTGTTGTTGTTTTTTTGAGACAGGGTTTCTCCGTGTAGCTTTGGAGCCTGTCCTGGAACTCACTCTGTAAACCAGGCTGGCCTCGAACTCATAGAGATCCACCTGCCTCTGCCTCCTGAGTGCTGGGATTAAAGGCGTGCGCCACCACCGCCCGGCTTCTCTTGGATTTTGTGGTGCTGGGGATCCAACAATGCCTCCCACATGCTAGGACTGGACAGGCCCTCTATCAATGAGATATCCCCACTTTTCTAGCCTGTCTTTGAAAGTTCTTCTTGAGTGTTCTAGGTGGACTTGGGTGTCCTGGATCGTGAACTCTCAGGGTTCTCTGTTACCTTCATCAGGGTACCCCCATATACCACCATTACTGTTGCTGTATCTACTCTGTTCTCCAGGCCATGAGGAGGCAGAATTTGAGACATGGTCTGGTACATGTGGAGTAACAAGTTATGACAAAATGACAGCTACAGATTTGTCCACAGTCCTGTGTGTTAGTCATTTTCACATTGCTACAACTGAATAATCAAGACAGGTTACTTATGGGGGCGAAGGTTTATTTATCTCATGGTTTTGGAAGCTCCAAGTCCAAGATTGGGGGGGTTTGAGGGACACTGGTTTGGCCCTTTATACAATGGCATGCCATGGTGAGAGCATGTTTAGGAGCGATGTCCCATCTTACAGTGGGAAACGGAGATTAGACGGGTCCCACATTCCTTTTGTGGATACATCCCAGTGATCTAAGGAACTCCCAGTAAGCACTCCTCTTAGAGGTGACAGTATTAGGATAAAACCATTTCCCAAATTCTTCCTCCTCCTCGCCTGGAGAACAGAGTAGACACACCAACAGATAATGATGGTAAGTGGGACACACTCGTGATGAATCTCTCCATTTCACAGATTTAATTTTTAAAAAAGAAAAGTACTTTGAGCTAGAAAATTATCGAGCATGCCAGTAATCCCAGGCAAGAAGACCAGGAGTTCAGGGTTATCCTTGGCTCCATAAGGACCCTGATGAAAGAAAGAAGGAAGGGAGCTTTGTTTGGTTTGGTTTTTGAGGCAGGGTCTTACCTTATATCCCTGACTGGCCTGGAACTGACTGTGTAGACCAGGCTGGCCTCTGTCTACCAAGTGCTGGGATTAGAGGCCTGCACCACCATGCCCGGTGAAGTTTTTAATAATAGCACAGGTGGTAGCCAAGGCTGGGAGAGGCAAGGGTAACTGGTTAGTAGGTACTGGGGCTTCTTTCAGGGCCATAGGGATGTTTTGGACCTAGACAGAGCTAGTAGTGACACAGTAGTGTAGGCTGGGTTCAGATCACGTGAGGGGTACCAAATGACCATTGTTTTCCAAACGCTGCTATAAAATAACAGGTGTCCTGAGGGGTGGGAAAGGTAAGAAATGAGGTGTGCTTCAGGAAGGCTCACAGAGGCCAGGCTCCGAAGTGTTCCAGAGGACAGATCGCACAAGTGCCCTTAGGAAGACACTAACTGAGGAAATTGGAAGGTCACCTCGCTGCAGCTCGCTGTAAAGTTGACCAGTCTCTGCTGGCAGGCAGCTCTGTGGACTCTGTTAGCGCCCCACTGAAAAGACGGGCATTTGTTTCGGCTCACAGCCTCAGAGACTTTGGTCCCTGCTGCCTTTGGGCCTGTGGTGAGACAGACGTGGCAGGGGGTGTATGGTAGAAGGGGCTGCTCCCCTGGCAGCCGGCAGCAGAGCGGAATGGGACAGGCTCCGATCACACTGCCGGTGACCTAGCAAACCACCACTAGACCCTACCCTCTACAGTTCCCACCACCTCCATAGAGTCAGGGCTGGCCACTAAGCTTTAATCATGGGCCCCAGTGGGACCTTTAAGACCCAGCCCAGCCAAATGTTGTAGTCGGACTTTTCTTTGGACCGCCAGCTCCCAAATAATGACATGGAGACTTCTTATTAAATACAAAAGCTTGGCATTAGCTTAGGCTTGTCCCAGCTCTCTCTTATAACTTAAATTAACCCATTTCTATTAATCTACCTTCTGTCACGTGGCTTGTTACCTCTCCGTACTGTACCCCTGACTTGCTCCACGTCTTGCTGACAAATCCCGCCTCTTCTTCCCAGAGTTCTTATCTCTGCCGGAAGTCCTGCCTGTCCTCTCCTGCCTAGCCATTGGCCATTCAGTTCTTTATTAAACCAACCCAAAGGTGCCTTTCACACAGTGTGATCATATATCCCACAACAAAATGTGGTTGTTCTAATCCCAACCACAGGAGTCTGAGACAGGAGAATTGCTACAAGTTGAAGGCCAGCTTTGGCTATGTAAGTAAGGTCCAGGCCACCTGTATCCAGGTCCAAGACACAGAATAAGGCTATCTTCAAAGATAGATAGATAAGCCTGGTGGTGGTGGTACACGCTTTTAGTCTCAGCACTCGGGAGGCAGAGGCAGGTAGATCTCTGAGTTCAAGGCCAGCCTGGTCTACAGAGAGAGTTCCGGGACAGCCAGAGCTTCACAGAGAAGCCCTGTCTCAAAACAGAAAAAAAAGATAGATGGATTGATTTAGCCCTAACACTGGCTCTCCTGAAGAGGGTCCTCACTGACTTCGCGTGCGTTTGTTTTGTTTGTCAGTGGCCCCAAGCGCTATGACTGGACGGGGAAGAACTGGGTGTACGCCCACGACGGCATGTCCCTGCATGAGCTGCTGGCCAGGGAGCTGACGGAAGCCTTCAACACCAAACTGGACTTGTCTTCCTTGGCCTATTCTGGAAAAGGCACCTGAGCACCTGCCAGATTCAAAGACATTAAACGGACCCCAGCCTTCTTCTGTGGCTGAGTGTCTGGTTTCCATGCCTGCTTCCGAGGACAGTCACACTGTGTGTGACAGCTCTGTGAAAAAAAGCGTGTTACCTCCCACCCTGTCCCCAGATCTGGCTCTTCATTTCTACAGAGGTTTGTTAGGATGGACGCATTTCTCCCCGTGTGACCCCAGATCTCTTAGAATGTCTTACACCACACGTGCGCAATGTGAGCCTCGGGAGAAGGGCTCCCAGGGTGAAACAAGTTGTTCCTACTCCCCAGTTCTTTGAAGGATTTATTGTAAAAGCTTCATGAAGAGCCATAGGCTGACCTACCATTGTGTCTGAAATGACATTGTAAGGAGTAGCTTCTAAATGTCACTCCAAGTGTGTGCACTTCAGAGCCTTTTAGCAGCTCC